TTGTGCTGAGGAGAAAATGTGCTTTGTTACAGAACAGGGTGATGCCAACAGGGGCTGGCAAACTCTGGGCCTTTGACCCAGAAGTCAAATCTGGCCCGCCAGTTGTTTTGGTAAAGTTTTTTTTTTTAATTAGAATTGTAGTTACATGCATTCATTTTTTTTGATCTATAACTCCAACCAAGATCTCACTACAAAGTCAAATAGTTGCTACTTTTACTATATGAGACTAGGTACAACACAGAGTTCATAGGACCCTATATAGAAAATTATGCTGATCCCCAATAAAGCTGAGTCGAAACTGACCATAGGGAATATTTACTAAAGAGACTGGGTTTTTTACAGCATTGATTTCTTCAGATGTGTCTGAGATGTTCCATAAAGCTTTAAACATTTTCCAGAGAAGTAGTACAGGGAATATGGCTATTGCCTCACATGTGGCCAGCCCATGTTCCATCCCCAACACCACATGGTCCCTGAGCAGAGAGCAGGAGAGAACTCCCGAAATAGTTCCAAACCTTGGCCCCTGGGTCTCCCTAAATAAATAAGGAGATTTAAAGAGCATTTATTTATTTGAGTCACCATGAGATACAGTTACAAAGCTTTCATGATTGAGTTTCAGTCATACAATGATTGAACACCCATCCCTCCACCAGTGAACATTCTCCACCACCAACGTCCCCAGTATGCCCCCACCCCTCACTGCCTTCCCAACCCTCCCCCTGCCTCTGTAGCAGACAATTTTTTTTTTTTTTGCTTTTTGCTTTTTGGGTCAGACCCAGCGATGCTCAGGGGTTACTCCTGGCTCATGCACTCAGGAATTGCTCCTGGCGGTGCTCGGGGTACCATATGGGATGCTGGGAATGGAGCCTGTGTCGGCCATGTTGGCTGCGTGCAAGGCAAATGCCCTACCTGCTGTGCTATCGATCCAGCCCCCGTAGCAGACAATTTAAAGGGCATTTATTTTAAGCGCTAACATAACCTTAGGAAAGAAAGGGCACTTAGTCCCTGAGGATGGCAGCATGTGTAGGTCCATTCAAGATACTCTGCCTCTTAGGACCCTCAAATTGAAGTGTCTGTCCAACTGAACTACTAACTTACCCTTTGCAACGCTTTGCTTCATCAACAATACGGACACACACACAGAGATCTGCACTCAGAAAGTCACCTGGATCTCCCCCTCCCAACCCCACCACCAAATCAACACTCTGGTTACCCTATTACCTAAACTACAATAAGGCTATTTTATTTTTCAATAAAACTGCTAAGATTCTTTACATGGATTTTGGTTTTGGTAAGTTAAGATACTCACTCTGGATATTAAAGGCTACATAAAAAAAAATCTTAGTATTTCTCTGATCTCTTAGCTTTGAAAGCATTAGGAGGCAATAGTTGCTGTGAGAAAAATGACCTAGTTAGACTAGTAGGTGAGAAAGTGGGGTGATATTTCTCCCCCCAGGGGCAGTAGTTCCCTTAGATTCAGTGGGGTGGCTCTTTCTGTGCATTTCTGGGGATGATTGTAACATGGTAAGTAGAGTCTCTAGAGTGAGACAACATCTTCACTGGATATGGGCTGGTAACATGAGGGCTTCAAAAGGCTTTGCATGTGAAAGTAGACTAAGAACCAAACATGATGGCCTGTTAGTATCTGTATTGCAAATCACAACACCCCCAAATTAGAAAGAGAGTAAGAAGGAATGTACCTGCCACAGAGGCAGGGGATGGGATGGGGTGGGGGTGGCAGGAAGGACACTGGGAACAATGGTGGTGGAAAGTGTGCACTGGTGGAGGGATGGGTGTTCTATCATTATATAACTGAAATGTAATCATGAAAGTTTGTATGAAATGAACAGAAACTCTCTCAAAGATGAAATCTGAATGACCCAAAGGCACATTAAAAAAAAAATGCTCTTCATCACCAATCATTAGGGAGATGCAGATCAAAACAACAATGAGATCTCATCTCACACCATAGTAGGTTTATTTCTACCCTTTCTTTCCTTCATTGTCATCTAGGAGAACTTTCTTCAACATTTTTATGCCCAGGGCAGGCCAGTCTGCATACCAGCCTAAGGATAATTATATCCACTGTGGTAGGCCACTGATTTCCAAACCGTCCACACCGCGGACCCAGTGTTTGAAGACACTATTCTAAGACAGTTTCTCCACGTTGGTTTGGAATCACTGTGAGCTACTGAAGTCTGGGTCCTGTCCTCAGATGTGATCCTGATGTGATGATCCTGGATGTGGTCTGGCCCTTAACCATGTTATTAGAAGTATTAGAAAGATAAACGGGATTTTCAAAGCTTTCCGGGTGATTCAAGTAAGGCAAGTCTGGGAACTTGTGATCTCAGAGGCTGCGATCACGTGGCCTACCAGTTTGTTTCCCCTTTTGGGAAGTCAGATTACTGGGGTTTCTTTAGTTCCTTAATTTGTCCTTGCCCCTTGGGAGCTGTCTCCTCTGCTGTTGTCCTTCTACTTTTGCAGCATGTTTATTTCTATTTCTTTGCGGATGTCTGTAGGGGTCCCTGCTAGGCACTAGGGTTTGTGATTCAGCTGTTCCAAAGCAGCCAGGAGCCACAGGGTCTGAGCTGCCTTTACCCAGCCTCACCAGGCAGTTGTGCACTGCCTGACTGCCTTTGAGTGCTTGGCTGGGGAGGGAAGGAAGCTGGGACGGAGCTAGGGGAGCCCCTCGCTCCCAGCCTACTGGACGTTCATGCACAGCTGTGGTTACAGAATTTTATTTATTTATTTTTATTTTTTTATTTTTATTAGTGAGGCACCATGAGATACAGCTGTAGACTTACAAATTTTGTGCTTGGGTTTCAATTATACAATGATCAAATTACGGTTACAGAATTTTAAACTTGGTTGAATCATGCCTAGTCAGAAGTTCAGGCCTGGCTGGAAGTTAGACTCAGGCTGAGGAGCATAATTAGAGCCTTACAATAATGGCATTGGTAGCTTTTGAAGTTAACTTCAATTTTTGGTAGTATATGCACATAAGTTAATGGCATGTTATGATTGCTGGGGAAGGAATGTCCTACAGCCTTACTCTTATCTCTTGAAGTGTTTGGAGTTTTTTTTTTTCCAGGATACTTGCAGATGTTTATTTGCTTTGGTTTGGTTTGGTTTTGGGTTTTGGGCCACACCTCTTGGTGCTCAGGGTTTACTCCTGACTCTGCACTCAGGCATCACTCCGGGCAGAGCTTGGGGGACCATATATACGCTTGGGAACAAACCTAGTTTGGCCACTTGCAAGTCAAGTGTCCACCCACTGTACTATTGCTCTAGTCCCTGTTGCTTTTATTTTTGAGATTACTCACTGGCCTTTTTTTTTTTTTTAAGTGAAACACCATGAGGTACAGTTGTAGACATACAAACTTTTGTGCTTGGGTTTCAGTTATACAATGATAGAGTACCCATCCCCCCACCAGTGCCCATTCTCCACCACCAATGATCCCAGTAGCCCTCCCACCTTCCCACCCCACCCCCCACCCCACCCCGCCTCTATGGCAGGGCATTCCCTTTTGCTCTCTCTTTCCTTTAGGGTGTTGTGGTTTGCAATAGAGGTATTGAGTAGCCATCGTGTTCGGTCTATAGTCTACTTTCAGCATGCATCTCGTATCCCGAGCGAGTGCTCCAAACATCCTTTACTTGGTGTTCCCTTCTCTATCTGAGCTGCCTTTTCCCCCAGCATATGCTGCTGGCTTCCAAGCCGTGGTAGATTACTCACTGGCTTTTTAGTACACATTTCCTCCTCTGCTCTCTACCCTTTTTTTCTTACCAATAGATCATTCCCACCAATTACTCAAGTTGTTATATTACTTAGCACATCTGTTTCTCATTGCTGCTGTGACATTATTATAAACCAGAGTCTCCAATGAACACAAGTTCATTACTTGCATTCAGTAGGTCACACAGCCAGGCCAGACGCTCTGGGTCAAGGTGTCCTCTGGGCTGGTTCCTGCCAGAGATTCTGGAATAATTCATGCCCTCGTGATTTTTGAGACATGGCCAGCTTTTCCACTCCAGAGAAGGCTGTGTTCTCTCTTGAACATATATCTCTCTTTCTCTCCCCTCACATTTCTCTAATTAAATGATTTTGCTCCATGTATTAACAAAACAAAAATGCAGTGCCTTAATTAAGACTGTGTTCTCCTACTGTGTACTTTGAGCTCCCTCCCAGCTTCTGAAGAGGAAGTCCTCATCTCTGATTAGGATAATCACCCTGTCCAGATGCCAGTCTCAAATGGGAAAAATGAAATGCAGCCCACTTCATGAACAGTGCAATTTTGTAAGGTAGTGGTTTATAATGAGTCACAGCACAGGTTCCTGTTTCCTGGACTGCTCTGCAGGCCCCAACCTCCCTGTGGAGTAGGGACAGAGGCAGGGAGGCACATACCAGCCTCTGGCTGTGCTGATAACCACAAATCATTGATTTTCTGGCCAACCGTGTTGCTGCATGAGCTTCTCCGATTCTTCGTCCTGTCCCGTGCCATTCTCACCTATTCACGCAAGTTAAAATTTTTTCAACCTATTCCCTTTTTTTTTTTTTTTTTTATGAATAGCCTCTAGAAATTTGGGAGAAATGTAACTTTCAGTAAAAGCTCAAAACCTCACTGGGGAGAAGAATGTTTCTTAAAACATGCAGGTGTCTGACTCCTACCAAAACACAATCAGGGAGGTGCAATTGCTCAAGGAGGGAGAGAGGGAAGCTGGGACCCCTCCCTCTGGCTTACCGGGTCTCCTCCCTCTGTGGTTTGGTTCCTGGGTTGCCTTGAGCTGACCGATCGGTTCATTGTTGCTGTCAAAACAGAGACCCGGAGAGGCGGGCTGTGTTGAAAGTCACTCAAACCGGGAGAAACTGGTCACTCAAACTGGGAGAAACTGGTCACAGAAACCCTCTCAGCTGATGTTTCCTGATAATCAGTCCTCATGACTTGTTGCATTTTGTTCCAGGCGGTGGGCAAAGGCTGACCAGGAGCTGAATTCTCTCAGCCATGCTGGAGGCTGCTGAGCTGTACTTCAACACAGACCACGGCTACCTGGAGGGCCTGGTGCGCGGCTGCAAAGCCGGCCTCCTCAAGCAACAGGACTACGCCAACCTGGCTCAGTGCGAGACCCTGGAGGGTGAGTGTGAGCACGTCACTGTGACAGTTAAAGGAGCACGCTCTGGGAGCACAGAGAGGCCTGCTCTGTGGCCCTGGCCGGGACATCCAGCCAGGCTTCGACTCCTAGAGGTCCCAAGGAGCGTGGGCAAGGCGAAGCATGACATCTTTCTTTCTATAAGTAAAACTGAGTATTTTGGGGCTGGAGCAATAGTATAGTGGGGAGGGCATTTGCCTTGCACGCGGCCCACCAGGGTTGGATCCCTGGCATCCCAAAGGGTCCTCCAAGCACCGCCAGGAGTAGTTCCTGAGTGCAGAGCCAGGAATGACCACTGAGCATCTTTGGGTATGACCCCAAAAAGGCAAAAACACAAACAAAAACAAACAATCAAAACCAATGAGTATTTCTTTTCATTCTGAATGCAGACAAGACATATTGTGTTGCTCAGTACTTAGTCACCAGGAGAGATATCATATTTCTTGCCGAGACATTGAAATACCATGTATGTTTATAAATTATTCAAGATTATTTCAAAATTAATTAATATGAGTAATCAATATAATTATTTCAGAAGTCTATAAATTATATTAATGTAAATTATATGATTATTGATATAAATTAATCAATATAATTATTTCAAAATTATGCCAGGATTGATTTCTCATTTAGGATAGATGTTTAATGTCTTAGTAAGTTAAGTATTATATATTTAAGAAATAGCTTGCTAACCCTATTTTAATATATTTGGTTTCCTTCGTAATTTATGTATTTTCATTCTGCTATTTTTCAGCATTCTTTGGAGATACTTCTCCAGATTATTTAGAGATCTAAACTGCCTCCTCACACTCCCCAAAAATGCTAAGAAAATTGTTCTACTTCCAAATTTTTCAGTATCTACTGATTAGAGTCTGAGATTTGTATTTGACCAAAATTAAAGAAATTTAGAGGTGGGTTTTATTGCTCTCTGTCCTGAATTTGGAAGTCCAGACTTTGACCTCTGATGCTCAAAGTAAGTGCCCTGGGGCTCTGAGTCTCTGATGCTTCATTTGAAAAATGTGATAATGAGATTAGGGCCTGGACTGAATAAATTCTGCCTTGCATATGTGAGTCTCTGGGTTGAATCTCTGGACCAAAAACAAGAGAAAAAGAAAAAAAACAATACCAGGAGCACCGAGCAAAGAGAAACTATTTTTCTAAAAAGCCATTTGGCTGAGGTATGATCACTATACAAAAAGTTGTACTATTTAGTCAATATAATTTTAGGATTTCAGCAATTAATTATGTATCAAAAAACACGATTATAATCTATATTATAAACCTATTACCCCTGAGAAACTTTTCTACCCTTCACTTACTTATTCTCTCTATGTGTTAGAGAGAGAGAAAAAGAGAGAGAAAGAGAGCGAGAGAGAAAGAGAGAGAGAGAGAGAAAACAATAAGGACACCTAATGTAAGAATTGCTATCAGATTTTAGCCACAGAGCACAGTGTTATCATCTATATACTCTATGCTATACCATAAATCTCTGGGACATAGAGTGTACCAAAACATAGTATTCTTTACCCAATACAATACCTCCCTGTTTCCCCATCTTCTCTGGAAATTATCCTTTTTTGTTGTTGTTGTTGTTGTTTTTTGGGTCACACCCAGCAATGCTCAGGGGTTACTCCTGGCTCATGCACTCAGGAATTACTCCTGGCGGTGCTCAGGGGACCATATAGGATGCTGGGAATTGAACCCAGGTCAGCCCGCTGTGCTATTGCTCCAGCCCCTGGAAATTATCTTTAAGTCACCTTGTTTTCAAAGCCTCACCAAAGATTTTACATTTATGATACTTTTATTATCAAAAGGTTACATATGCCCAATTTGAAATAAACTTATAAAATCAATATATGCCCAATAAAGCTTTACAACTTTCCCATTATTATAGAAAGTGCCAGATAGCAGCAGAAATCAAGATGGCAAGGAGGACTTTTGGGAAGCAAAAGACCTTTTCAAGGTGACCTTGAGGGCTTCTCCCTGGGCTGCTGTTTAGAGTTCCAACCTGTGCAGGCCAGAACTGGGGCAGACCAGAGCTGAGAGACTCTTTTCACTGGCAACAGAAAAACTAGAAAAATCTTTCAGAAAAGAATTAACTCTGCTCCTACTCTATATCCCTCCATCCAAATTTTTATTAGCATATTAAGTTAGGACTTTGGTAACTGGAGAATATTAATTCTGCACAGAAAATCTGTGGAATTTTGAGGTAGGCAAAAACTTTAACAAACACAGAAAAGAAAAATGCTTTGAATGATTCCATTTCATTCCTAGTCAAGCTTTTAAATTAGCTGAAGAATGCAAAATAAAATACAAAAAGTACATGAAATGTCATAAAGATATAAAGCAAAGGTTAGTCAACTTTAAAAAAAATACAATTCAGAGAGACACTAAGGGCAGGCATTATAAAATCAAACAAAGAATTCCAGAAAAATGAAAGTTTAAAATGGACAAAAATCAGAAATGTATAAGTTGCTCCCAAATATCTTCTGCCAAGTATCTTTTTGACCTAGTAATTTAGTTGAGCCAAGAGAAGAAAAAGGAAAAGGAAGAAAGGAAGTAAATAAATATATTATCAAAATTGCACTTAGCTGAATTTTGTAACTTCAACTTCAGTATGAGAGAGAAGGAAAGGTCTCAGACACTTTGAAGACCTGAAGAATAAACCTTTTCAGAAATATACACGAGAAGTGCATACATACAGAAATGTTTATGTAATGTTTAGGGATTACCCCAAATTATCCCCAAATCCTGGCTTAATGAAAAAACAACAATTTTTAACACATTTTCTAATTGTAATTTCTATAGCTTTTTTCCTCTAAAAATGTATAATACTCAATCCATTTATTTCACAATTTATGTTTGAAACTGTATGCCAGTCAGTTCTTCAGAGACTCCCAGGAATATCAAATATAAATCATCAAACTGGGTTATAAATGGATGCTGAAAAATCCATCTAAATAAGGATTTTGTTTTTTCAGTGAACAGTTTAGGACACTGAGGCTTAGAAAGACCGTGACCAATGTAGCAATGGAGGACAGAAGTTATCCGGTCTTTTTCCACTAAAGTGGATCTTCTACCTTACCCTGAATTGTGATGATGTGTCAATGTCAGCTCCATTTTCCTTTTGAAAATAATGCCTACACAAGGAGATACGACAGGATGTAAAGGAATACCTGACTTTTGAAAGCAATTGTTGAATCTGTAGATGCACAAAAGAAACACAGCTTGCTTCTGAGCTGAACTGTGTTGTTGAGAGGGGGGAAAAAGAATAACGGCAATTTTTAGATAGAAGTTTGGGACTTTGGGATTTCTGTTTATATTTGCAGAAAACCTGTCTCATACAAATTAAGGATAAAGAAGATGGCGTAAAACAGTGCTCTCTCTCTCTATATATATACATATATATATATATATATTATGTGCTGAAGCCAATAAAATATATATTTCCTTCATAATAAGAAAGCTTACTTATCTTTATTTAATTTTATTTTTGGTTTGGGGGGGCCACACCTGACCGTGCTCAGGGCTTATTCCTGCTGCTCTGGGCCTACGGCTTACCCCTGGTTCTGTGCTCAGGGATCACTCCTGATGGGGCGTGGAACTTACTGGGAATTGAACCCAGATCAGCCAAGTGCAAGGCTATACCCTGTGTACTATTGCTCCAGCCTCTGTCTTTTATTTTTAAAGTTTCATGGCACCAACAAATGGTTGGAGCCTAGATTTCTTTTAGAGCACTTTCCTGGCGAGGCTGGGGAGAGAGTTTAGGAGTTAAGGCACAGTCTTGCATGCAGCTGACCTGGTTTCATCCCTGGCCTCACAAGGCCCCACAAGTGCCATTGGTGCAGCCCTGGGGGACCCCTGAGCTCCACCAGGATACCCCTGAGGCATCCCAATACCACATCCTCCCCCAGGCTTCTGAGCACCTCTTGGGAGTCTCATCCCCATTCCCCAAACAAAACAAAACTTTCCTACCAAGCCCAAGGCAGCTAGTCTAACCCCAGCGGCCTCCATATGGAGAGGCAATGTGACCCTGACTCTCTATTGATAGAGTTCCAAGGACAAAGGTCCTGGGGCCACTTCATTGCTCCACAGCCCCCAGCACAGGGTGCAGCTGTGAGCTTGATCCTCAGGTGTAGAGGGGTGATCCTGACTGCCCCAGGCGCCGGGACCCAGGGCAGGAGCAAAACAAAATGTTTTAGGAGCACTTGTTTAAAAGGAATATCGAACATTTCAGGTCAGTTTGGAAGGGAAAGGGTGAAAAAATTATCCAGAAAAGTTTTGGAATGTCCCATATTCAGAACTGTGTTCCAGGGTGCACAGAGGATGAGTTTTCTCAGAAAGATTCATCTGTTCCAAGGTTGGCCTCGACAAGTCAGTCACTGGGACCTGAGTCAGTCACTGGGGTCATCTGTGACTCAGTCCTTCTTGGGGAACTCTGTGGCAATGTGGTTCTCAATACCAACCAGTGGTACTGCAGGAGTTAAGGATGTGATCTATGGAGAAACTCTCAAAACTTTACAAGTGGCTTAGAACCAAAATAACAGTTAAAGAGACACAAAATGCTCTTTAAAGAATTAATGTGATTTTCTTTCAAATTTCTTTTTCAAATTATTGTTCTTGAGAGAACATAGCAACAGAATTTTGAAGTCTGCCGGGGAGAGTGGGAATTAAAAGGAGGTATAGTGAGTTAGGAGGTGTGATTACAATGGTGCTGACATTTATGCCCATGGTGTGCAGTTACCAACCTCCTTACGGTGCTGGGGAGGTCCATGTACTACCTGGTCTCAATGCAGAGAATGTGGCCTGGCCTTTTGATCCTTATCATTGCTTCAAAAATTAAGACCTGATGAAGGGATGGAGATTGGAACATTGAATGACTGAAACGCAATCATGAACAACTTTGTAACTGCGTATCTCATAGTGATTCAATAAAAAAAAATTTTTTTTTTTACTTAATACTTGACGGCCGTAAAATGTAATAG